TCATTTTTGTTAATTTTTGAATATTATTTTATTGACTCTAATTTTAGTTAGTTTTTATGATTTAATTAACCATAGTAATTTAAATAGACATTTAAACTTAATTTATATTTTTCCAAGAGTTCTCTGATCATATGGTACTTACCAAAACAAGTCCCATATTTTTCTGATTCATATTTTAGTTTATATAATTATTTTAAGCAAAAATAGACGACAAGACTTGAAAATTAAGGTTTTGAAAATTAGAGATGCTCTATGACCTTGGAAAAATCAGAGAACATCCTAGTTAACATGAGCAATCGACCCATAAAGTTTCAAGTCATGGTGATTATTATTTACTTAATTAGAATTAAAATGGCCCAAGGGTATTTAATTAATTAAAAATCATAGACATGTTAAATAATTTTTTTATTCCACATTATTTTCCTATGTTCATTGAGCAAGAGGTTATTTTTATTTTATTTTTCTAATTTTTTTACATCAAGTTATCGATTTTCTAAGTTCTGGAATTTAAAATAAATAAAAAATAACACATTTTCCTACTTATCCATGTCAACCTACGTCACTCTGAACTTTCCACGCGCCGCCGTGCTACTAGATGCTGCCATCCGCGTCAGCTGCCACGCAAGTTGTGTTTTATGTTCTGTTTGCTCGTCTGACTCCTCTTTTGTTGTTTGATCGATACACGCGCAAACGGATGACATCCTTTCATTGTCCCCATCTGTTATAAATTGAGGACTGTCCATATTAAAACACTTCAATCTCACTCAATACTCAACCAAATCACTCACAGTTTGTTCCTATAGCTTCATCTAGTCGAGGCGAACACATCCAAATGACTAGATACAATTGAAATTAACATTGTTTTCACAATTCATGGAACCGAGTAGGATTTTAGGTTTAGGGTTTGTGATTTATACGTTAGCCCAAGAGGTGAGGTCTCAATTGGGTTGGTTGTAGATGTTTGTTGTAACTCCACGAAGCTCCTGTAAGCACCAATTTGAACTAAGGTTGAGCCTAGGCGGGAGTTCGGTCAAGGCGTGATGCTACCTTGGTCTAAAAGTGGGTTAGAGTGCTCAACAAAGGGGGATTTCGATGGGAACTTCCTTGTTTGGTCTGAGGAAGCTTTTTAATATTTTAATTTAAACTTTGGTGGAATTTAATGGGATGACAAAAAAACACCTTAGATTTTGAACTCAAAATTGAGCTCAGATGGTGGATTTCAGTGGGGGAAAATGGTGAGATTGATCTTAAGAAATCTTAGAGAAGCTCTGGAAATAAATTGACAGAATTTCCCCAAGGATTTTGGCACACTTGGAAGTTGGGGCATTTTATGGGGTTTCTTATAGTCATGGCCAAGGGAAGGGTCTCGAGCTCTGATTGGCTACTGCAAGAAGGCTAAGGTGGAGGGCTGAGCGATGAAAACATCTAATGGGGAAGTGCCATAGTGGATGGATTCAATTTTGGGTTTAAAGAAGGGAAGGTCTCCTCGGATTTGAGCTTTTTGGTGACTAGGGTGGCTGACCAGAAGGGAGGTGGTGTCTAGCTGAGTCAGGGAGGATTAGGGAAGTCGCAGTTGTGATTACATTGGAGTTTTGATGGCTGATGGCATGGGGGGAAGAGTTTAGCCAAAATGGGAGAGCATATCTCCTTAATTTGGGGGACCCTTGGTCCATGGCTGGGTCTTGAGAGATCTATTTAGTATTCTAGGTGGCTAACCAAGGCAGGAGAGGGATAAGATTGATTAATGCAAAAGATTTGAGTAAATTTGGGGTTTAGGTTCAAAAAAAGGGCTTTGGTTTGAACTTGGATCTTGGTTGGGTTTGGGTTTAGACTTGGGTCAAGTGATTGATCAAATTGACTTAGATAATTGTCATGAGAAGTTTTAAAAAGAAATTGGGTGATTATGATATGATTTGGAAGTTCAATTTAGTGGAATTTTGGCTCATGGTCAATTTTGGGGCATTTGGGCTATACATGGGTTTGGATTGGGCTAGAGTTTGGATTTGGTTCAATTGATGACTCAAATTGGTTCAAGGGACTGTGATGAAGTGTTTTGGATATCAATTGGGTGGAAATTGTGAAGTTGTTCAATTTGCTGACATTTGGGCTTTTGGGTAAAATTGGGGGTTTTGATTTAAGTTGGATTTGGGTGAGGATTGAGGTTAGGAGAAGGCAAATTGGAGGCTCAAATTGATTAAGGGAAATGTTATGAAGAGTTTGGGACTCAAAAATGGAGATATTGATTTGATTATGGGGTTTGATTTGGGGCATTTGAGTGTATGATCAAAATTGGGGATTTTGAGTGAGCTTGAATTTGGTTTGAAATTGAGTTCAATTGGGCTTCAATTTGGTTTCAATTGGGATTGGGCATGATGAATTTTGATTTGAAATTGAAATTGGGGAAGGTTGAAGTCAATTTTGGTTTCAATTGGGGATTAGGCATGATGAATTTTAATTAAGGGTAATTGGGCCCTAAAGGCAAAGTTGGGATTTTGATAAAAATTGGTCAAATTAGTCAAATTGGACTTTATGAGTGGTGAAGATTGGTTTTGAAATTGTTTGAAATGATTTTTGGATGTTTTGGGAAAATTTGGGCCATGTGATGTATTTTAGTAATTTTGACAAAGTTAGGTGTAGTTTTGGAATTTTGAAAATTTTGGAATGTTTTGGGCAATTTGGGTGGTTTAAAAGAGTTTGAGATGATTTTTGGATAAAATTGGATAATGTGGGTAATTTTTGAAAATTTAGGGTTTTAAAAGGTAATTTGGTAGATTTGAAAAAGTTTGGGGCCAAAAGGTTAAATTGGGTATTTGGATAGGGTGAGATGAGTTGAGGATATTAACCATAAAATTACCCATTTTTGAGCCATGAGACCAAGGGAACTCCCACTATGGATCCTTCATGTGTTGGTCTTAGTCAAACCCTAGCCTAGGACTAATGGTTTAGGGGACCATCCACAAGAGTTTCCAAAACAGTAAGGGATTAAGCTAGGAATGTTTGGTTAAGGGTTGAGGTTGTGAGAGTATGTGAGGAGTATCAAGTGTGTGTGCAAGACTGACCAAGACCACACCACCCAAGGCTAACCTTAAGGACAAACAGTCCTATAGGGGCTCCTCTTGCGCTCCCCCATCTTGGTTCCACCTAATAAGTGCTAGAGGTTAGAACCAACAAATGGAACTTTAAGATGAGCAAAGAAGAGATTTATAATTTCTAATGGCGAGGGTTCCTTTACTAATTTTCTAGGAATAATCAACAGAAAAGTCTTATGGCCAGATCCTATGCTTCTAAGGAAGAAACTAGACCTCAACCAAAAGTGAGGTCAACAATGCAGAAGGCAGAGGGAAAAGTTGGGTGTTGCATGAGATGTGAACCATGTATGAGTAGTTAGTCACATAGGCCACAGTGGTGAGCTCAAAGGCCTGTATTAGGAGCTACATGAGCTGTCAATAATGTAGGTTGTAGTTGGTAATGTAAATCATAGTTGATCGCATAGACGATATTGGTATAATGCAATAACGTCCATAGATCGTAGAGGCTGAAGTTAGGATTTGCATGGTTGTGAGTCGCATAGGTCATAGATGGTCACATAGATCGTAGTAGAGAGTTGAAGTAACATTTGTAGGTCATAGAGGACGAAGTTGGGAGTAGCATGAGCTGTGGAACACATAAGCTATAGTTTGTCATATAAGTCATGGTGAGCTACTCTAACGATCGTAGGCTGTAGAGATCAAAGTTGGTAGCTACATGAGTTGTGGACCATGTAGACTATAATTGGTCACATAGGCCATAGTGGCGATCCACAATAAAGTTCGTATGTCATAGAGGCCGTAGTTGAAAGTTGCATGAGTTATATACTACGTAGGTCGTAGTGGCGAGTAGCAATAGCTTCTTTAGGCCACAAGTTGGAGTTGGGTTTCATGAGCTTGTAGATCATAGATGTCGTAATCGGTCACGTTGGTCATAGTGCAAAGTTGCAATAATGTCCATAAGTCGCAGAGAATGAAGTTGAGAGTTACATTAGTTGTGAAACATGGAGATCATAGTTGGACACATAAGATGTAGTAGATAGATGCAAGAACAGAACTTCAGGAGTTCGAAGAAAGTCATTACATGCAAGATGCATTGTTACACCATCATTGGGGTGTGTCGTTATACTATCTTCGCAACGCGTCGCTGCATCCTATATGGGGCACATTATTACATTGTATTCACAACATATTGTTGTTTTTCAGGGTACTTTGCCACTTCACAATGCATGCCTGGATTTTGCAGCATATGTCGGAATTCTACAAAGGGATTTTTGTGGCAACAAGCAGGTGTTGACCGATTGTGGTTAATGATGGTCGATAGTGTTTGTCGACTGCAAGAGTAGATGACAATCGTTTAACTTTTGATGTAGAACTCTGAACTTCATATCCTTCTTGCGATCCCGCTCCAAGCTCAGGTTCGCATTCAACTCTTCGACCCCTTTCCATGAAAGTGATAGGGTTCTATTTATAGACTCTGGAAAAGTCCTTCCTATAAAAAAAGAAAGGAATTTGAACTACCATCAAACAACCTAGAGATATTCCCACAATTGAATGACAATTTATGAGCATTTGAAGGTCTAAACGATGTCAAAATTGAATAATCTTAAACTCGTTGGATTTGTCTTGTCGAGACACTATATTTAATAATAAGCTTATTATATTTGAAACTCATTCCATCTTAGAACTAAAAATCAAAAGTTTTTAAAAATAGTTTGACATTTTATTTTGGGCTTGATCTGACTAGGATTGGACCATTTTTAGTGTCATTTTGTCTGTCTCATCGACACATTTAAGTTGACTGAGTGAACTAAAATAAGAGTTATGAATAAGTTTTTATCTGAGTTTGAGTGTGTATTTTTAGGAAAATGCCCCACGATTTGCACTAATCACCTTGAGATGCATGCCAAAGGTTAAAATTTGTTGATGATATATCAAAAGAAAACACAAAACCCGTTCTTAAAATATGCATCATATAAAAATAAAATGACACAATTCGCATTATATTTCGTTGAACAGTCTTCACCCAAAGAGATACAAAAGACTAGGTAAAGCAGCATGTAGAGTAGAACATAGAACAAGCATTAAACAATAGTAGAATGACCAAAACATTCATTAATTATCCACCAAACAGGAGAGATGCAACCTTCAAATATTTAAGCAGCGGTCAAAGTGTTGCCCACATCAATCACAAATCGATATCTCACATCAGCCTTGGCCAGCCTCTCCATCGCGTCATTCACATAATCAGCTTTGATTAGCTCAATATCTGCAGTTATGTTGTGTTTTGCAGCAAAGTCTATCATCTCCTGCGTCTGTTTCATTCCACCAATGGAACTACCAGCCAATATCTTCCCTCTCAGTATTAGAGGGAAGGCGGGAAATTCCAGTGGAGCATTTGGTACACCAACCATGGAAAGAGACTGTAGTGTAATACTAACTCATTATTAGAGGAAAGACGGGCAATTCCAGTGGAGCATTTGGTACACCAACCATGATCATTTTTCCATGGGTCTTCAACAGAAAGATTAATGGCAAAACATCATGCTTCGCTGACACAGTATTTATGATACCATCCATGGTACCCATTGCAGTCTGCAGGAGAAATTTTCTTAACGACCGGTTAAGAGACTGAAAAGGAAGAATGGCAATGATCCCATTGCCTTTTTATTCGATAAACATTTAAGCATTGTGAGTTGTTTTCTCAAAAGCGTGAAATTTTCTTATGCTTATAATACCTACTCAATAATATTATTTTAAACATTTAACTTTTGAATAATTAATACACTTCTGGTTTTGTAAAATGACTGAAGTTTCGGTGTTAAATATGTAAATACATAGGAATTGAGTGATACACACCTAAATCTTCCAAAAATAATATATTACCTGCATCAGCTGAGGATCGCTGCTAACTAGAAAATCATCAGCTCCTAAGGTTTTGATGGCTTCCTCTTTCTTCTTCGAAGACGTGCTTATAACAGTGACCTTCATTCCAAAAGCCTTGCCAAACTTGACGGCAACATGGCCGAGTCCTCCAAGGCCTACCACACCAAGATGCTTTGCAGGCTCATCGAGGCTAAAGGTCTTCATGGGGCTGTAAACCGTTATCCCTGCACACAACAGTGGTGCGGCCTTGTCCATTGCCAACTTTTCGGGGAACTTCACCACAAAATGCTCATTAACAACAATCATATCGGAATAACCCCCATAAGTGATCGTCCCATCAACATCAATTGAATTATATGTTAATATCATCTTCGAGCAGTAATTCTCAAGATTGTTGTCACAAGCTTCGCAAGAATGACAGGAACCAACCATGCAACCGATGCCAGCCTTGTCTCCAACTTTAAACTTTTGAACATTGGGACCAATTTCTGTAACGATGCCAACGATTTCATGCCTAGAGAAATCAGTGTGGTTTGATGAGTCATAAGTGGAAGGCATTCCATTGAGAAGTTAGTTTTTTATGATTTAAATACAAAGGCACATAACGCATATGAGCACAAACCCTGGAACTACTGGGTAGGTAGTAATTTTCCACTCGTTCTTGATGATGTGGAGATCTGAGTGACAAATACCACAATACAACACCTTTACGGTAACATCATCATCGCCATTGTTCCTGAAAATTTACAACATCAACCACTCTTAGAAACTCAGTTCAAAATAAGTTGTGGACCAGTGAGTGTCCTAAAGAGGCTATTAAGTATTGCAGAAATTTAAACGACTATTAATGATAAAGAAATATTTTAATTTTTAAATTATAATTAATTAATCTATAATTTTCTTATGAATTATGGGTGATTGATAACTCACAATCTTTAGATGCTGTTTAATATGAGATAATAGCACCTTCATTAGAAAAATCCTTCATTCAGGAAGAATAAAAACCAAAGCAATCTCAAAAAGACAAAATATAAAATAAAATAAAATAAAAAATAACTAAACTCAGGCTAACATGTCACCATTGCTCAGACAAACAGATAAATATCTTTAAAGAAGAGTGTGCACATAATTGTAAATGCCGATTACAAATGCTAAAAAATTATCATGATACTTTTATGATGTAGTTATCATCATCCGCAATCCATCACTTTGTATAACTGAAGTCAAACCCATCAAAATAATTGTCATCACAATAAAAAAAGGGATCTGATTCAATCAGCCTAAAATAAATGCAGAGGTGAATTAATGGTAGTTGTACTGTCAAACTACCAGAGTAATTGAAGAGCACCCAGATCCTTAATCATGTTACATATTTGTAAACGCCAACGAAATATACAAAGCTAACAAAGCATACAAATATTTTTCTTCTAGATTCCTCAATAGTTTGAATATTATAATAAAGTAACATATGTTTTAAGCTCCACAAATCTCATATATAAGGCTTTTAGTTCCACAGTTAAAATGAAGGCAAACAAAAAAATACCTTCAAACAAACAGTAGAATTAAAAATAAAATCTTATATTCAATAAAACTTTATAAATTATAAATTGCATTCTATTATGAGCCATTTCATTAATAAATTATAAAAAACGACTTCATAAGACCGACAGCATTGATGATAAAACCGCAGATTTCACCAACCCAAAAGTTTGTACATGAGGCGATGATGTCAGTCAAGGCCCGGAGACAACTGTCAGCATTTAAAGCATTTATAGCCGCACGGCAAAGCCAAGGTAGCAGATAAGTGATAAGAATGTGCGTAATCACTAATTGACATCCTTTTATTTTTTTATTTTAATTATTATTTTTTTGCCCTTCCACGATGCAAAAAAACAGAGGTTGACATTAACAATTTAGACCTGTGAGATCAGTTTGTGCAATTCTCCTGACGAAGGATAAGCTGAACCCTTTTGCTCCACGCAGAATGGCATCATCCCGCGCATGGGAACCCGGACTTCCCATATTGGCAATTTAGCATGCAACTCCATTTTATTAGATGCCATTATACCAGTACATACCAAATGCAATTTTAACTTGGGATGCTTACAAATATAAAACATAGTTTAGAAAGCAAGAATTTAGCCAAGATTGAAATACTCTCTTTTGTGAGGTTTTTGAGGACTGTAGTTTCCATGTTAGTGGTTAACTACATCCAATCAAATGATAGCTTTAACAAACTTTATTGTCTTTTCAATATATGATTTCCAAGTTAGAGGTTGTTTAGTTACAAAATTTATCCAAGATTTAGTCTGTCTTGCCAAATATCTTATTCTTAAGTGACATAAACTCTTTATCCACGATTTAGGCTGTAAATCACATTTTCATTCCATTTTAAGCAAAAAAACTTGAATTTAGTAAAACAAAGTAGAAGTAGGATGTGACTTACATTACTTCTATCACTGTGTTCCTCCTTTCAGGCCATCTGGCACATGTAGGTTTTAAAAAGTAGGATTTAATAAATCTTGTAAATTCAGATTTAATAATTCTAGAGAGCATTAAAAAAATTTTATTTCGCATATCAACTCTTAAATTTTACTAAATGTCGATAAATTTTTTTCAACATTTATTTTATAATTTAAGATTTGTGAGAGAGAAATCCATAAATCCTATGAATGGTATGATTTAGTAAATAGTAGCTTGAACCAACAATGGGGTTTATCAGAAGTGCAATTTAAAGGTAGTTTAGCTGCGCCACTTCCAAGTCTCCAAAATCCTATCTCATACGATTTGAGCTAAATCTTGCTAAAAATCCACAAAAAAATAACATATCAAACAACCCATTCATTTTTACTCTAAAATCTAAAAAAAAAGTATAACAAAGAGTTTATTAGCATTTAATCAATTTTAACATCTATGAAGTTGAAATTAAAAAAAGAACAAGATTTAATGTTTTCAGTATTTACTAGCAGCCATTAGAGATTTTATTTATTTTATTTATGTTTTGACATGAAATAAATTATGATTGATATTTTAAAAATATGTTTTTTTTTTTATTGAATACAGAACAATTTAATTTCCACGATGGTGCAAGGATCACCTGCGAGGTGAGGTGATGATAACGGTGATCGTCGCAGAAAGCGGCGGCGGACAATTATAATTTGTTTTCAGTATAATTCAAAACACTTCAAAATTGTTGAGTGCTTTTCTTACATCTTCTAAATTTCTTCTAAGAGCAAAAAATAAACAGTTTAAAATAATAGTAAATAAACTTGCTTTTTTCTTAAATAAAAATAGCAAAAAAGAAAAGTGATCTCAAAACCTAGCAGACAAGCTCTCCCTTAAAATGCTATTACAATAGTACCAAATTTCTGTGAAGGACGCCAAATTTGGACAGAATTTCATAGTTTGAGGAGGAATAATAGTATAATCCCGAAAACCTTTACACAAAATTTTTTTGCATGTATGACATTTTTTTTTCCTCTTACGCGTATCAAGCAACCACACATTAATCTCACTTTTTCAGATGATTTTATCATTACTCTTCAGCAACAAATAAAATAGCATTGCTCGTCTAGAAAAGTAGAAACACCTTGAAAATCAACGCACGGCTATCTTTAAAAAGGAAAAAAAAAAAGCGACATGAAGAACGGGCCACTCCAAGTGTCCATAAGCGACGGAATCGCATCTTGAACTATTTAAAAAAATAAAAAACCTTTGAAACACCTTCAATGGCCAGATTGATCGGTAAAAAGGAAATGAGAAGGATAAGATAAGAAGAGGCCAAAGCGATACCTTCTGGAGAATGTGAAGGGGGAGAGCACGCCGGATGAATCCTTCGCCGCCAAACCGAATGCCTTCCGGGGTTGCACCTCCTCCGACAACGCCTTGCTACTGTTTTTGACCCCCGCCATACCTTTTTCCTCCGCTGCACTCGATACCGAGTTGAAGACAGATTTAGCTAAAGGCGAGAAACGAGGAATAGAAAAAATTGACGGAGAGCTGTGCAGAACATTCTCCTGTTTCGCTGTTTTATAAGCACCATGTCTCCACTAATTATTAACTGTACTGTTCATAGCACTATTTTTTTCTTAATTGGGGCTAATATTTCTATGTAAATGTCATTAATGTATCATAAAGAGAAAATTATTACATCGGGAGGATTCCGAATTTATAGCTACGTTAGGAGAGTCTTTGGAGTCCAATAAAATACGGATAGCTACGTTTGGAGTGTCTTTGGAGTCCAATAAAATAAGGATACGCAGAATATTGGGATCCACATAAAATTTTGGTATTAAAAAAAATACGCGCACGGCCCGGTCCAACCTTAACCCGAATCTTTATTCTTAAATTCAATATCTTTTAATTAAAATAAGAAAATTACATACTTTAAAAATATTGAGTACGTGAAAAAAGCAAATAAATGTATGTTATTCGTAAAAGTTAACGAAAACAATTGAAATTACGTTATTTCACAACTTTTAGTGTTTTAAAACTTCAATAACACCTGAATAATATATGAATAACGCCGACTCATACTTATATAACACACGTAATACAGATATAGTCATTGTGTTATAAGAATATTTCTTTGTGTTATTTATTTTCTTCCGTGTTATTTAGCTTGCATACTGTGTTACATGAATATTTCATCCGCATTATTTCTAATTCCGCGGGGTTATTTTATATTTCGAGGTGTTATTTGTGAAAAATGAAGTGTCATTTGAGTATTATGTGATGTTATTCAATTACTTTGCGTTGTTATTGAAATATTCCCCTATTTTACTTGATTTGGGACTGTGTTATTAAGAATATTCCCCATGTTATTTAAATTTTCACTGTGTTATTTGGTCTTCTAAGCATTTTATTCGAATATTCCGCGGGGTTATTTTATATTCCGCGGTGTTATTTGTTAAAAATGAGGTGTTATTTGAGTATTATGTGGTGTTATTTGACTAATTTGTGGTCCTATTGGAAGTGTTCCAGCTTTGGGTTGGATTGGGGTCGGGTCACACGAGCATTAGTTAATTTTTAAATTTTAAAACTAATGGGTCTAGGTTTCGGGATGGGCAGCCCGGTAAAAATTATTTTTTCGTCTGTCCTGTAGGTAGATCCTGACATTCCGCGTGTCCTCATTTTATTGGACTCCGAACATAGCTCTACGTTCGGAGTCCTGATGTAATATTTAATTAGAAGGGACTGCTACCAATTTTTGAGAATGTTGGACAAAAGTATAAAAAAAATAGAATTTATAACATTTTACTTTAAATATCAGAGTTATATATTTAATATCTTATTTTTTTTTACTTATTTAATTTCTAAAATTTTAAGGTTCTATTTTCTTATATCCATAAGTTAAAAGCATGATAATTACTTAATTAATATTTTAAATTAACCGTCACACACACACACAGATATATATATATATATATATATAATAATAATAATAATAAAATGGCGGTTGAGACTGTCTTTACTTTGCTAGGGTTTTGACGGCTCCTTCCTGACGTCACAGTGGTGCATGGTGGTGGGGTTTGGTGTTCCTGTTTCAGAGTGGTCTTCTCTCTTGAAAGGTGGTGCTGACAAGAAGAATTGCTTTAGTTTGTTCTTTCCCGGGCTACAACTTTTTCAAATTTATGTTACTATTACATTGCCTACTATAGTTTTTGTGGGTTGTGTAAGGTTGGTTTTGGTGTTTCTTGTTAGTCTCAGCTCCTGGTTTACTTTAGTTAGGTGTTTCTTGGACACCTTCCCAGGTTTTCTCTTTTTTGTAATTTACTATTACATCGACACCCTAATGGCTAGCTTCAATGGAAGAATACCCTATTGATGTTCAAATCAATTGCCAATGGACCAAAGCCACTTATGCAGGTGTGGTTGGCAAGGGGAATTACATCCCCAAATCTTTTTATCACTTGGTTTTCCCTCAGGCTCTCCATGATGCTACAGCTGGAAAAGGGGTCTGCCTTATGTTAATCCACTAGGTTTGAAGCATGGTGAACCTACCATTCTTTTTTCTTCCATGGAAATTCAATCACTTACAGATACAATTAAGTTTACTTCAATTGGAAAATTCCAATTTGGCATCCAAAGATGGACTATGTCAGGAAATATTTTGATGATCACAACCTCACTGGGGCCTGGAAATTGGGTTTAATGGATGGTAGACATCTTTTAATTAAACGCTCTAATGAAGAAGACTATGCCAGATTGTTTGTTAAACAGTCTATCCTGATTGTTGGGACTCCGATGAAACTAGTTAAGTGGACTCCTGGGTTTGATACTAATAAAGAGTCGCCAATTGTCCTTATGTGGTTCAAACTACCAAATCTTCCTATTCAGTTTTACCATCAAAATGTTCTCTTCAATACATGTTGTGCCCTTGGATGTCCATTGAAGGTGGATGCTCCTACTTACAATATAGCTAGACCTACTGGGGCTAGAGTTTTAGTTGAAAGGGATATAACCCTTCCTGATGTGAAAGGGTCTGGATTGGATCTGAAGAGGAAGGATTCTGGCAGAATATTGTGGTGGAGCAAAGACCTCCATATTGTCCTCATTGTAGAATGTTTGGGCATACTGTGGACAAATGCTATAGAATCCACCCACGCTCCAAAAAGAAGTCTGTTAGCCCTCAAAAAAAGAGTGCAACTGTTGCTACTCCTACAGAGATTGTTCCAAAACTTAAAGGGAGAGGGATTTCAGTGGTGAAATCAGTAGTCCCTACCAAAGATAATGCAATCCAACAACCTCATTTTACTAATGAAATGGTAAACCAACCTAATCTGAACAACTCTGCAATAGCTGCTGATGTTCTGGGGGTCACTTCAACATTAGCACTTAGCTTCTCTACTCCTACTGAGGAGAGACATTTGGAGGCAGCTACTAAAGATGAGAGAATATTGGATACCAATCCACATAAATTAGAGGATCCCACATCTTAACAGTCTAACTGATGTGCTCAATGATGAGTGGCAAGTTCAGAAAAACAACAGGAAGAAGGAAGGTATGCTAGAATTAAAACAGCTTCTGGAAGTTCAATCACTGGATGGTCTTTCGAACCCTACCCTAGAACCAGAGGTAAGGGGAAAACCTTTTCTTAATGATTAATTTTTTGTGTTGGAATATAAGCGGAGTGGCCCACCCCTCCTCACTCAAGAGATTAATTTATCTTATATGAACTCACAAAATTTGGTGTTTTACTCTCTTAGAGCCCATAGTAAAAAACACTCAAAAAATTTTAAGAAAATTCTTTAAGTTTACTCATTTTGCTAATTTGAAAAATAAAATTTGGATCTTTGCTACATCTAAGTTACAGTGGACTGTTCTCCATAACCACCCTCAATTCATTCAAATCCAATTCTTTCTTGGTGCTCAGTTGGGGTATGCTGCTTTTATCTATGCAAGTAGTAATTCTAGTTAACAACAAATCCTTTGGCAGGATTTACTGCATATTGGTTAGTATATTGACTCTTTCTAGATATTGAGGGGAGATTTTAACTGTATCACCTCACCTTCTGAACAGTAGGGTGTCAGACCTCCTTTGCCCTCATCTGTGGCTAAGTTCAACGATTTCATTACTGGTGCAACCATCTTTGATTTGGGAAGTTGACACAACATATATATAATAAATATGCAATATAAGCCCAACAATAATACTTTTTATGAAAATAATTTATCTTTTAAAACTCTTTTTCAAACTGTCAAATCCCCTTCAAAAGCAACACCATTAGACATATCACTCAAGTAATAAAGAGCTTTAATGGAGTCCTAGATATCGATCTCATAGAGAAGTTGGAAAATCCTAAAAGTAAATTATGAAAAATTTTTTATAATCTAAAAATACAAAAAAATAAAAGTAAAGTAAAGTGTGAAGTTTAAAAATTAACTACTCAAGTGAATGTTAATTAAAATGCAGATGTAATACTACAGAAGTTAAACTAAACTAAATACTAAACTTTCAAAAGTAAAATTACAAATATTAAACAAAGTTTTTGTTGTGACAGAAAGTTCAAATTTAAGAAAGCATCCTTCCCCTTTACAATGAATATATGGATTGTGAAGAAATTGAAATCATTTGAAAAAATATATAAAAACTATTTTGTGCCAAATAGGAGCAATTCTATTCTTTACCCTCTTCCGAGTGCTATAAAGAACATTGATTAATCCAAAGTTTGGTCCCTAATTTTGTGGTTAGGCTGGGAGGATACCGACTGCCACTCCAGAACTCCCACTACTCCCAAACCTGATGACTAACAATCTCACATTAGTTTCCAATCAACTGGACAAAATTGAGGATTTTAATCTGTCACCTTAAAATCTCTAATTTTGCATCCAACAAAGTATATTTCCTTATTTATTTGCACCTAATCCCATGAATAACATACTCTCCCATGAAATCAAATGTGATTCTCCCTATGTTGTAGAAATCATATATCATTTAAGAACATATTTCTATCAACAAGTATTTACATTTCAATTAGTCAGATCAAAAAGTAAATGAAGATCGGAGTTTAAATCATAATAATTATTAACATTTAAAGCCATAAAAAATAAAATCTATGTTTCATAAAATCATATCTCAAAGTAGGGAGAAGAATAAAGAAGACTACTCAAAATTCATGAGAAGGATACGACAAAACATGGATTTCATATGTAAAAATAAGTTTACAAAATAAAAGAAATAAAAATACAACTTATCTCACAATCTTTCCCAAGAAAATCCCTAGAAGTTCTCTCCAAGTCTTTCTCTCTTTACAATCATTCCCGCTTCTCTCTTAGAAGTGTAATGAAGAAGAAATCTCTTACCTTCCCTCTCCTCTTACAACCCTAGAAGAAAATATCCTCTTCCCTGTCTATCTCTAACTACACCCACTTTCTCTCTCCCTCACGCCACACCCATTGACAAATGAGAAGTCCTCTTCTTTTATTTTTGGGTTGTCTCCTTTGGAAAAAATTCAAAATTTCCTCCAAAAGTGAATTCTTTTGAATTCAAAAGACGTGTCATTTGATCCAAGA